TAACCGGCGAGTCGAGTAGTCTGTGTCGTTTTGGGACAGACCAAGTCTTGTAGTTGTGTAGCTGTTGTGCGTGCTGCACTGATTGGACGTTAGGACGATGGCGACAACGTCCTTGAAGATTGACATTTTTTGAAGCCCTTTTGGGGAAAGAGCGACGACTTCGACACGTTCTGGAAAAGTTTCAAGTAGTATGTTCGCTCCAGAAAGGGACCACGCCAAAGGGACGTATGGCCATTTTCCCGTTGTCCCTGGAAGGTGATGCGTTTCAGTTGTTCTCTCAGCTTAGTGCGGCTGACCAGGAGAATGAGACTAAGGTCAAAGCCAGCTTTGAGACCGCGTATGTCGTCACTGCCGCCAAGGCCTATCGTAGGTTCAGGGTCCGCACACTTCGAGTCGATGAGCTGGTCGATTCTTACGTGGCTGACCTTAGGAGACTGCTGGGCCTATCTGGGCACCTTGTTAGTATTGCAGACAAGGACCCCGTGCTACTAGAGCAGATGATTGCTGGCTTGCCTGTGGACTACGCCCGGCAAATCCGTATACTATGGCATACGCCGGAATTGACATGACTGTCAGTGGCTGTCTTGGCAAAATCCGGGTGCTACGCTCATCGGAGGACGATATCCGACGACAACGCACAGAGCCTGTTGGTGCTACTGTTGTTGTTGTTTGTTTATTTAGAGTCGAAGAACAAACAGGCAAATTTGCCTAATTACATGATATCGACTAAAAAGGAGAATAAAGTATAAAAGGCCAATGAAGGTAATGATACTGAGTAGAGTGGGTAATAAAGTATCAAAAGCCAGTTAGGCCAGTGAAGGTAATGATACTGAGTAGAGTGGGTAATAAAGTATCAAAAGCCAGTTAGGCCAGTGAAGGAAATGATAATACAGTGGCATTACTGAAAAGCAGCATGTGCTGGAAGGGATCGCAGGGATCGCATGAATCGGTGGTACTGTGGGATTTTCCTGATATCGGGCTGGAGCCTGTTCCACAGTGATACACATTGGAATGAGGCAGAATGTGTGCCAGCGGATGTCTTAGTGACTGGAAATTTAAGTGCTCGATTTCCCTGACTACGTGTAGCACGGTCGGCATTGAGAGGACTGAACATCTCGGTAACTGCTGATGCTCCAATCCCTGCCAAGCTGTGTTTTGAGTGTAATGAAGTGGGCCACATCAGGCGGAACTACCCTCTTCTGAAACGACAGCAAAGTGGTGGTCAGCAGCGTGGAGGTAGTGGCACTGGTGGATGGTGCAGTGGCAAGCAGACCCAGCGCACAGTGACCTGTTTCTTTTGTGACCAGTCGGGTCATGTCAAGAAGAATTGCCCGGCCAGAAAAAAATGGCTGGAGTCGGTTGGTGAATCGACAGCTGCTGCTACTACCAAATATGCAGCTGAACAACCCGGCAGCGACATGCGCTTGTGCATTGCCAACCTGCAGCGACCAGGCCTGCCGAAGGTGTTTGTTAATGTGGCTCATGCATCTTCCGAGAGTCGTGTACGTGCGGTGATAGACACTGGCTCTACCCGGACTCTCGTCACCTCTTCTGCGGTCGACCGTCTACAAGCTCCTGCCACTCCTCATTCTGCTCAGCCCATTGTTGCACTGGACGGGCAGCCATTGACGGTCTTAGGCATGACACAGCTAGTTCAGCAGGCGAGACACAGCAGTCATAGTTCCAGATGTGTTCGTCGATGTTCTTGTCGTACCTGAATTGTCTGTCGTCGCCACTGAGGTGCTGATCGGCTCGGATATGATCTCCAAGTGAGGTGGCCTGAACCTTGAGTACGACAGTGATCACGGTCTGTGTGGTGTGACTCTTGGCCCCAGTAACAACGTGTGTGCAAGTGCCCATCTATCTCTGCGACATGTGAGTGTGAAGACTGACGGAGATGATATCGTGCTGACGTCTGACGATGGCTCAGTCCACTGGGATGCAGTGCAGGGCTGCTGGGTGTTGAACTGAAAATGGAAGGGTGAGAAGCCGCCATCTCACCCCATTGGCGCTGGTATTGGTCAATACGCTCGGTCTAATCTGACAGCCGAAGAAGAGGAGCATTTCAGCGCGGAGATAGCCCGTTGGATTGCTGATGGCTGGCTGTCCCCTCATGATGAGTCGGTCCACGGTGCCCCGGCATGCGTGCTGCCGTGGCTTGCAGTCAGTCAGCCCCACAAGTCTACAACACCTGTCCGTCCATGTCTGGACTACCGACGACTCAACGACACCCTTGTATCCAGCCCTGGCCTGGATGCTCCAGCTTGTGCTGAGACTCTCCGAACCTGGCGTGCAAGTTGTCCAGACGACCATGTGATGATGGACCTCAAGAAGGCGTATCTCCAAGTCCATGTGCATCCCGACCTATTACGCTATCAAGTCATCCTGTCGAAAGGACGGAAGTATGTCATGACTCGTATGGGCTTTGGATTGAATGTTGTGCCGAAGTACATGGACATGATCGTGTGCTGGGTGACTCACGATTTCGACGGTGTCGACAACTACATCGACGATGTTCGTGTGCCAGTCGCTATTGCTGAGCGTGTCGCATCTCGCTTGGCTCAGTATGGTCTTCGAACCAAGCTGGAGGAACCAATGTCCAGCTCCCGTGTTCTTGGTTTGCAGCTTTCCGCTTCGCCAGAGGGCCGTGCAATGTGGCGGAGGCGTGATGGTGTCAAGACAGCTTTCGACGAGCCCCTGACGAAGAGAAAGATCTTTCAATGGTGCGGCCGGCTCACTGGTCACTACCCGGTCGCTGGTTGGCTTCGTGCCGCTTGCAGCATGGTCAAGCGCACGGCCGGCTTAGAGATGGTTGGCTGGGACAATGAAGTGTCTTCTATGCTGCGACGCATCTGCACTGACTGAGAGCTACAAGCACAGTTGGCAAATCACGACCCTGTGTATGGCACGCTGATGTAACCATCCCAGTCGTCGTGTGGTGATCAGGGTGTTAACTTTGTAACTGACTGAGTCAGTTACATTAAGCCAGTCAGTCACTCAGTTACGCCAGTCACTGGTGTGGCTCTCTGCTACACCGAATCTATTATTTTGCTGGTATTTTGTTCCAGCCCCCCCCCCCCCCAAAAAAAAACCCAACCATCACAATTGCACAAGTGCAGTGACGTGACTTGTTCTACATTCTACATTCTGGAATATTTCTCTGGTAACAGAGCATGACTTATGTCGTGTATTGGTGACGTACCTGTAGCTCCAGCAGGCCGATTGGGACATTCTCTTGAAAAATGACCATACTGTCCACAAGAGTAGCACATCGAAGATCCACCACCTGAACGATCACTTTGCATTTGGTGCGTTACAGCAGACACGGAAAACGCACGAATGCAAGCACATCCAAGGGATGTTTGCCTGGCAACGGATCTAGCAAGGTGAGCCATTCTACAGTCTACGATCAAATATTGGTAACAGTATTCAAAATCCGAGCAAGTCTGACTTCGAACTAATAGTAATAATTATTATTACTTCGCCAATAAACAGAGCTTCTGATTTTTGTGTTGCGCAAACTAGTTCAAGTAGTTGCTTCGCCACGTGCGTGCGCCCACATACGTGGTACCATGGCAACGGGTGGTTTCTGCGACCATGTGCCAAACATTTTTACGTTTTTCAAAAAATAAATCAATAAAATGTTTAAAAAAATGACATCAAGAAAAAAACCATGTACAGGAGGACTGTAGACTGTACCAGGCGCTAGCAAGATCAAGAGTAGATCTACATGGAAAGGTTTTCATGTACTCTTGCTTGATCTTGGTCCAGGCCAGGGGATTCCCCAAATAATAAGCTCCCAGAGCTAGTAACCATGGTAACTATTATTGCTTGTAACAAGAGTACAATGACAATGTACTCTTGCTTGTAAGTGTAAGCAAGAGTCCATTATGGACTCTTGGTGTAAGTAATAATTATTACAGTAGTTGTAGCTGCACCATAATTATGCATAGCAGCAAGACTTAGAGTGCATGGACTCTTGATAGTAGGCATAGCCTAGGGCCCGAGTAAGGGCCCAATGCCAATGGCAATGGGCGAAGGCAAGAGTAAAGCTCCCATACTCTTGCTTGTGCCAAGAGTAGCTTGCTTGTGCCAAGAGTATAATAAACCCCGATACACACCGGCTCTGCACAGCATCTTCACAACACTCTCCAAACGGTCTCTGGCCGGCAGGGCCACCAATCATTTACCATAATAAGAGAAAAAGAGATACTGAAGGGTACACCATGGAGTCGTCAAATCAGGCCCGGTATACCGGTATTCAGTGACGACTCCCTCGGAATCACACGGATTTTCGGGCAAGGCTCCTGAAGGCCCATCTTCCTGGAAGATGGGCCTTTCCTGAAAGTTTGAGTGATTTACATGTTGTAGTAGTCTCTTTTTCTAGTCAGGTACGCATTTCATCCTCCAATTACTATGCATGAGGAATGAGTCACGTGCAAGAGTGATCAAGAAAGAACATGATGCAGTGCTCCGAATAGAAGTCAAAATGTTACACATAAACTCTAAAGGACGGGAAGTGAGAAAGAGACCGGATAGACGGAGAGGGACATGGCCGCGACAAAGACACTGAGAAGCAGGCCAAAGAGCTGCATGAGTATCCATGGCGACCTGAGTACACAACCCCATCATGTACCGTACAGTACAGCCAGAGCACAACACCATCTTGTCCTTTCGTGGTCATGTTGTGGAGGTGCTCTGCTGTATGTAGGTCATACGACACGAACCTTGTACACATATTCCACATAATCGTCATTAAATTTTTGCAGTCAATCTGTACCTTCGAGCGGACACAAGCTCCACACAAAAACCTGCCAAGTGTGCCCTTAGTACACTAAGGTTCTCACATCGTACAAACTTCGTTGCACTCTGCCATACGATTTTCATTTCCCTGGCTGTAAAATCAAGGTGGGGCGCTCTCGCGAGAACCCCCCGGGCGCTCTGGCAGTACTTTACGATACATGTACTCTTGCCTTGGCACTTACAGCACTAGGGTGACGTAGAGATGACCAGCACATACAATCTGGCCCCGGATGGTGAAAATCAGGGAGTAGTGAAACACTGGTATATTACTGCTCCCTGGTGAAAACCTAAAATTGAACGGTAAAAGGACATGAAACCAAGGCTACGGAGCAGTGGCTCAAAACACGAAGACAATGAAGGATCCTGGCAGCTGTGTGTGGTAAACGATATGCATGAGCCAATGCCTACAAAGTCCAAATAGAAAGAAATTTAAAAATGCAACAAATGATGCAAGGTAACCATTTCTTGAGCACACACACACAGAACAAACGGCTTGGACGCAGAAACCAAATAGTGAAGATGAATGCAGATGTCTCTATGCACACGTGCCAGCACACTGTACACAATAACTGAGAGAGAGAGAGAGAGAGAGAGAGAGAGAGAGAGAGAGAGAGAGAGAGAGAGAGAGAGAGAGAGAGAGAGAGAGAGAGAGAGAGAGAGAGAGAAAGAGAGAGAGAGAGAGAGAGAGAGAGAGAGAGAGAGAGAGAGAGAGAGAGAGAGAGAGAGAGAGAGAGAGAGAGGAATATAATTCTAGCTACTGATATGGCAGCATGACTGTTAGTACTATAGAATAAATGACAATAGCCATCAATATGACTTAGGAAGCTGTCACACTTGCCTGCTGCATCAGGATGAGAACGACATATTGTGAAGCGTACACAGGAATATGAGCACCTGCAAAGGTCTGCTAGTTGGAAGTTAGATCCCGGAGGGTTGCGTTGGGAGAGAACCGGACACCAGTGACAAGTTAAGACGATTGACGCTTGCACCCTGAAGCAACGGCAATAGAGCTGCAGCAGCACAACACAGTACACAGTACACATTAGTGACATTACACAGCGTATTCAGAATTGGTATGCTGACGATTCGTCCTGCGCTGCCTACCTGCGTAGGGCAAGGGCCTGGCTTTGCTCCCTTCTAGAAATTGGCCCAGCATATGGCTACTTTGCTGAGCCCACCAAGAGTGTCCTGATTGTCAAACCTCAGTTCCTGCAGGAGGCACAAGCCCTTTTCAACGACCTCCAGGTGGAAGTCACACTATCCAGCCGATTCCTAGGATGATACATCGGTGATGAAGCGGGTGTACAGCAGTTTGTCAGCAGCAAAGTTGCATCATGGGTTAAGAGCGTGGAACACCTCTCTGGTGCAGCTAAAGTATGCATACCCACAAGCAGCTTATTGGGTGTTTACCTGGTCCCTCTCCTGCATTCACCGCGTTGTCGAAGGCCATGAAGCCGAGTACACCCCGCTACGTAACATCATTCAGCAACAGTTCACGCCTGCTGTCCTGGGTAGAGAGGTCCTTGAGCGAGAACATCAGCTACTCGCCCTCCCTGCCAAGTTCGGCGGCCTCGCCATCGCCGACCCCACCGAAACAGCACCGGGTGCCCATGCATTGTCGAAAGATGCTACTCGGACTCTGGCGCGCTCCATCTGCTCCGGTCAGCCAGTGGTCATGAATGACCATTCTCGCCATTGCCAACTAGTGACGAGTCAGGCAAGCTGGACCAGGGACAAGCAAGCAGGGACACTCAGCAAGGAGCTTCTTCAAGACCTCCCTAAAACGGAACGGCGCACTCTCTCTCACATAGTCGAGGGACATGCTTCCGGCTGGCTCACTGTCCTACCGCTCTGTCAGGAAGGCTATGACATGTCTGCAACCCAGTTCCGTGATCAGCTGGCAATCCGCTACGGCAGGCAGCCCAACTCCCTTCCGTCTCACTGTGACGGATGTGACGCCCCTTTCACCCTCCAGCCCGGCCTCGACTGCCATAAGGGCGGCCTTGTCAAGAGAGGCCACAACGACCTCCGCGACAGTGATGCCAAGCTTGCAGACATTGCCTTCGGCGACGTTACCATCGAGCCGATCCTCATCCCTGAACAGGACAGGAATGGCCGGCCCATGCTCCAAGCGGACTGGCTCGCTCGCGGAGTATGGGAAGGCAACCGGGTGGCGTTTTTTGATAACCGCATCGTAGATGCTGACGCACCCAGTTATGCCAAGGCCAACCTGTCCTAGAATGCCACAGCCAACAAAGCAGCTGCAGCAAAGAAGCGGAAATACAAGCATGCCGCTGAAGAGCTACGAGGCTCTTTTACTCCTTTGGTGTGTTCCACCGATCCTGTCTCCACCGTGAGTACAGCGCTTACCAGAAGCGTCTCGCCAGCCGGTTAGCAGCGAAGTGGGAGAAGCCCTTCTCCACCATGTCGTGGGTACGCGTGCGCACTCAGTTCGCCATTTTCAGCGCCGTGGACATGCGTCTGCGAGGCTCCCGTCGCTGTCTTACGGGACTCTCCGTACATGACGGTGCCGGCGTTGGAATCGGTCACTGAGTCATGTTCTCGTTCTGTTTTTCTGGGTTTCCTCTCTTTCTGTGGCTCTCCCATCTATTACCTTTTTCCTTCCTTTTTTCAGCTCGAATTCTATTACTGTATACCCTTTCAATGATGGTCCTTTATCACTGTCTTTCTCTCGCAAAAACAAAATAAGCAAGGCTTTTGTTGCGTTTATTTTGCCCGTAGAAGAGGCCTGTAACTTACACAGTACTAGTACACATTAGTAACATCAGTGACATTAGGCCATCATTTTTTATAGCTATGTTTCGCGTCGTCCGCACGCATACGTTTTGATTTTTTTCAGAAAAAAAAAATCTTACATGCACGGTGAGTGTACGATTGTACGAGTCATCAGTGTGGACTGGTTGCATACGGCGAAGCTGAGATTCAGAAATGGCCTCTAGGCCAGCGTTGGCAAATCGTTTGTTCGGCATCTGGGAGCAATATTCTATAGCTAACACCAGACAGCATTGATCGCCTGAAGCTGAGAGGATGCGTCGTTCTGGAGGTCTTTGCTGCACCGCTGCCGAAGTCTGAGTACAATAATCCAGCGAAGCATAGGCACCAACGGATGCCTCCTCTGTCCAAAGTGAATATTTACTCTTGCTGATAACCCAGATGTTGTGCTTCGATGTACGATTTTTCTTTCAAATGTACACCATGTACCATGCACGAGCTATTGTGCTATGTACAGTGCATACACCTCTGATGAGCCTTTTTATTATTTTGCAACTTTTTATTTTTTTCCACCTCTCGCATATGATTCTGGAAGTTGAACTGACGCGAAACATAGATATAAAAAATGATGGCCTTACTACACAATACACATTACACATTACACAGTACACAGTACACAGTCAACAGTGCACAGTACACAGTGCACAGTACACAGTGCACAGTACACAATACACAGCATACATGTACATCATACACAATAGTGAGAACAAACATCACAGTTGAAATAAGACACATAGACACTAGACACTAGGCATCACGGTGATAATAGGTCCACTACAGTTCCCCTGAAAGACAATAGAGAGGTTCCGCACTACGCTATTAATCACTAATTATGTTAGTAAAGACCGTAGTCGATCTACGGAAAGTCTTTACATATCCTGCATGCGGATCCGTGTTCTGCCGTACGGAGTTTTTGAACCACATAGCTGCGCATGGCAAATCCGGACACGCAAGTGTACGACCCAGAGAGAGAGAGAGAGAGAGAAAGAAAGAGAGAGAGAGAGAGAGTGAGTGAGAGAGAGAGAGAGAGCGAGAGAGAGAGAGAGAGTGAGAGAGAGAGGGGGGGGGGGGCATGTATACAGGAAGGGACTAAGCCTTACACTTGTTTCCGCCTGTATCTACCTTAACCCCCCATCATGCTGTGACCAGTCTGCATCGGATATTGTTTGCCCGATGATTGCACACAGTGCATGAAACTCAGAGTAGCAAAACACTATGAGTGATCCTTTGCTTGTTGACATGTGTCATTGCATCCCCTAAGAAATTGGATGTTGAGCATTTTTTCTACAGCTGCAGGCATACTGTAATTTCACAAATTTTCGGTGTACTTTTATTTTCGGTACTTTCGGTGCATCTGTTTCATACCTAAAATTTCAATACACCGAACAAACACTAATGCACATAATCCAATAGGGAACTGCTTCTCTGTACCTAAATTTTCTGTTCACCTAACCTGGCCTTTTGCCCTCATACCGAAAATATTGAGCACCGAAAATTTCTGAAATTAGAGTAGTCTTTAATAATAATACTGAGTACCTATGCATAGTATTGCATACCTATATATTTAGCATTTGGTGGCTCTACTCACAGTCATTTGGCTGCTCCATGCGGAGTCATTTGGCGGTTCCAAGCAGAGTCATTTGGCGGCTCCATGCAGAGTCATTTGCCAGCTCAGCTGCGAACCATCTAGCGGCCCCAAGCAGAGCCATCATACCAGTTGCCCGAATCGGCACTCCCAGCTTAATCCAACACTTGGTTGCTCTGTTGCGAGGTGTGTGGGTGGGGGGGGGGGGGGGGTGCTAACAGTAAATAGCTGATATCATGCCAAATGCTACTACACATGAATAACTGACCTTGAAGGTACTGGCACTTCGAGAGAGTAAGACGATGATATTGCAGCAAACCGCAAAGTCCAGTCCAAGACGCTGGGTCAATCTTGTCCAACTGCTGTCTGATGTACAGTGCCAGCGAGTCTACATACACATATACACAGACACACATAGACACACATACATACACACTTGTACTTGTTGCTCACTGCCAAAAACTGGTTACGTGGTCTCCCCGGGAGAGGGGAGAGAGACTCAAAAGGAATCTTGGAAAGATGACTCAATTCGAGTTAATTGGCTATTGAGCCGCCCAACGGCCGACACCCCTGAAATCCACAAAACTCTGAGTGGACTTGAAATGATCCCACTTATGGGCTCACCACACCTCAGTAAGTGGGTGAGGACAAGGTGCAGAAAAAGGATTGACAGCATCAGGGTATCCGTCCCGGGATCCAACTGCAGTTATCCCTGCCCCCAGTGAAGGTAATACTTGCTACTAGTGTGGGTGGCTAAATCAGAGTTGATCTGATATAAGCTTCACTAGCACCATTGATTACACAAGAGCTAATCTAGCCAGAAGCAGTCCATGGTAGGTATGTATACTTCAAATAGAAAGTACATGAACCGTGGAACCAACAAAGGTGGCAGGTACAACATTACACCTTCAAGCAGCCGAGCCTGTTGGCAACAGACCCAAAACAATCAGGCATAAGTGTACCCACCAACCGAACTAGCTGGCAGACACACACAGACACACACACAGACATACACACACAGTCACATAAACACACAAACACACAAATAGGCAAACAGACAGACAGACAGACATGCACACATTGACACCCCGGACATAAACACAGAGACAGATACACAAACAGTACATATGGACACATGCAGTCCATTCAGAAAAAGATGAGCCTTGGCTCTGGAGAGCTCCCGTATTTGGCGATTTTGTGGTACACTGTGCAGTGCCGCGAGATTCGAAACTTGAAAAGGGTCCAAAAAGGTACCTCAACTGGGGTTCGATCCGCAAATGTACTGTTACGCAAGTGGAGTGAACGGCCTGGATTTTCATGGTTTTCCCCAATTCAGTGCTTTGGGGGCAAAAACATTTTTAACGGTTCGCGTGAGACTCGGCCAAAGGCCCAGTTTTCCGCATCCGCAGGAACGCCACCACCCTCTTGGATCAAGGCGTAGATGCAGCTCCTAAGTGGTGGGAGCGGTCGGGGCAAAACCTGGCCAAAATCCTATTCTTGTTATGGCTTGCTTTTTGGAGAAATAGACTTCAAAAACACAATTGGAAAAGCATTCCATGGGGGATTGCCAAAAAAAGTGTGACGAAAACTAAAAATTTGACCCGTTTTTGGCCAAAAGCTAGGATATAATCTTTTTCTGAATGGACTGTAGACACACACACACACGCACACGCACACACACGCACACGCACACGCACACACACACACACCATGTACCATGTACCATGTATACGCCCGTCGCAAGAGAAGCACGCAAATCTGCAAATGCACTGGATGTGCACCCACAGATTTTCTCTTATAGCAACGATAGCGAACAAGATCTGAATGAGACAGATCAAGACTTGCGCCAGATAACTGTCTAATCCACACAACTGGCGAAGCCATGTGAATCGACCACCAATGCACACCTGGTCTACACCACATGGAGTACATCGGCATAAAACGGCCAAGACAGTTACCTATGCACACCCTACACTTGCTGGGGTAACCAGTATAGACAGCATGCTGCTTTGATAGAAGCAGACACTAGATGCACTGGTACCTTGAAGTGAAATTGGAGTTACTTTGCCAACCAGCCTCGGCTACTGAGTACTGGGAACCCAGAGCCAACAGACATACCAACAACCTCAGCCATGAAAGCTATAATAGTAACAACACACTGGATTGTGGAGCCGAAACTAGTCCAACTTCCAAATGCTTTGGCAAGAAGGTAGCCTTCCGACACACACACACACACACCTCAAACCTCAGACCTGCCCATCGCGGAAGCGATGATAGCGAACAGCTATGTTAGACATAGCAGCTTGTGCTGGGATTACACCATTCAACAGCTTGCAACACACACACAGACACACAGACACACAGACCCCCCCCCCCACACACACACACACGAACGCACACTTACCGCCATCGGACTCTACTCAGGGAAATCAACTTACCGGCATTGGACTTTTCTTGTCGCCTGATGTGATGCTCCACGTTTGCTTTCATAGCCGACAAGAAACTAGCATCCATAAGCTAAAACAGTGGACATAAAGCACAGTGCATGTAGAGCGCGGGCGGCAAATCACACAATGCTGATACATGTATTGGTATAGAGTATAGAGGAGAATCAAACAAACTTGTAGAAAGGCACACACACAGCATGCTCATGCGCTGCAATGACATACTGTTAAACCGGAAAGTCTAACGAGTCACAAAGTCTAACGTTTAAACGACCGTTTTTTTTTCGTTATTGAAGAAACGTTATCGCGAACCCGGTTTGAGATGTTTGTGTAAAGATGCGCATACAGATGGGTGGCCAGGTAGCCATCGTTAAACTTTCTGCACGTCATCATGCTAAACTTACAAAAATGTTAAACTTTTTGGACTTTCCGGTTTTACAGTAGTCTGGAGCACTAACATGCCACACAACCAGCCGTGAATGATGGCCTAGGGTGTTGACCAGTGCATTCCTAATACCAGCCGTGAATGGTGGCCTGGGGTGTTGACCAGTGCATTCCTAATACCAGCGGCCTAGGGTGTTGACCAGTGCATTCCTAATACCAGCCGTGAATGGTGGCCTAGGGTGTTGACCAGTGCATTCCTAATACCAGCCGTGAATGGTGGCCTAGGGTGTTGACCAGTGCATTCCTAATACCAGCGGCCTAGGGTGTTGACCAGTGCATTCCTAATACCAGCGACCTAGGGTGTTGACCAGTGCATTCCTAATACCAGCGGCCTAGGGTGTTGACCAGTGCATTCCTAATACCAGCGACCTAGGGTGTTGACCAGTGCATTTCTAATACCAGCGACCTAGGGTGTTGACCAGTGCATTCCTAATACCAGCGACCTAGGGTGTTGACCAGTGCATTCCTAATACCAGCGACCTAGGGTGTTGACCAGTGCATTCCTAATACCAGCGACCTAGGGTGTTGACCAGTGCATTCCTAATACCAGCGACCTAGGGTGTTGACCAGTGCATTCCTAATACCAGCGGCCTAGGGTGTTGACCAGTGCATTCCTAATACCAGCGGCCTAGGGTGTTGACCAGTGCATTCCTAATACCAGCGGCCTAG